GCAACGCCAAATAATTTACGTCCCTCTACATCAGCAAATGGTCTTAAAGTTTGGCACCAAGAGGTAATAACAAAAAGGGCTAGAGTTGACGTGCCTCTGACCTTCAGACTGACTTCGGCATTGCACTGCTCTACAGCAGTAAGTACATCTACCTGGATAATAGTTTCACTACATGTTTTTTTCATATGAAAAACTTGGGATCTCACAGAGACCTATTCACTAGGACTCGGAGAGGTCCTTGGGCATTCGCTCTTCCTAAGAGGCTGTCTCTGACAATATTGCTCAGAGACTCACCATTTGAAGAGATGTATAAAATTCTCCTCTGAATCGTATTATTTCTTCTTTTTTGACTAAAGGAATCTTAACCTTTAGTCTTCTTGATTCAAAGCTCAAAGAGCTATTATCATTACATGGCCTGTTGAGTCATGTTTTCAATTTCGTTTAATTTGTAACTCATTTTTAAGACTGGAAAAATGCTGCGTATAATTTCCTGTCACTTCTTTTAATGTTCCCAAAGTTTCTTAGCCTATATATCCGTTAGGTGACTAAACCGAAGAATCATCAGTTATGGAATTTACATTAAAATATTTATATTGACAGCATAAGACATGTGTGTACTCGGAAGCTCAATACTTAAATAGTGCAGGAGAGCCTTTTTAAAATGCCTTTGTCTCCTCCCAGGGTGACGGTTCCCAGACGACTGACGGGGGCAGGTGCCAGTCCCTTCTCTCCCCTCCCTGTCGATTGGTTCTGCTCTCCAGCACCACAAACCCGAGATCAGCAGGGAAAGTTCAAACCGTTCTTTAGCAACAGGTAGTCGATCACTTATTTTCCACCAAGACAGGAAGAACTGTCTGTAAAATATCTTTGGAGGTCTGCCAGCAGCACTGAAGTCCCTTTCAGTCTGGAAAGCAGCCCCAGTTCTGTAACTCTGAAGACCATAAACGTGGGGAATTCATCAAACTAATATTAAATAGAGGCTTTGTCGCCTTAAAAATTCAGTGCTTGGATCAGAAATTCCAAAGCCTGTATTTCAAGCAGTGTAAAGTTTACAAGATGCTGTCTGTAATTTACAAAACTGAGTTCTGCAGCAAATAAAAACGTCTGTCATGTCTAAAGATTAGTATTTGAATGACGAAATGGTGCTATTTTGAAAGGCAATTAAGATGTTGTTCCCTATTAAGAAAAAATATAGACTACTTACATTAAATGACATATTACCTATTTGAGGAAATCAATTAATGATAAATGTATTCCAAAGTAAAGCACTTATGCAAAACTCAGAATTCGGGGTTCCAGTGACTAATTTTTCTCTCTTCCTGCTGCCTTGACTAAGCACCTACAGTCCTTGCAAACAGCACACCCACACCATAATTTTTTTTTGGCAAACAATTAGTGCCTTAATTCTTGAACTATCAAGCTCGAGAAACAGTAACCACTTAAATCAACAAACCCTTAGTTTAATCAATCAGCATAGAGACTTGGATGAACCTCCTTTATTAAACACGCATGTGTCCTGCTGTTTTCTGCTATTTTAATATTATTTTTTAAAAAACAGACCCTGGGTAAATGTATCTGGAAAGAAATCATCAAGTTCAGTGTGTTGGGGGAAGACAGGGGGAGCTTCTTGAAAACTGACTCTAAAAAACAATGTTAAGTGTTAGACTAATGAAAACTTAGCCCCAGTTGGCAGATCTTTAGAATCTTTGTAGTGGGAATAGCAACTCAAGAGCTATTAAACACGTGACAGGCCAAGCATCCACAATGTCTGGATTTTATTCTCTTTTCGTTTAATTCTGTTGAATTTTAAATAAAGTTTAGGTTATTTTCAATATTTTAAAATATGCTAATAGTTGCTGAAAGAAAATTAACTTTTCGGTTTTTGGACAGAGTTGTAAAAGGTTTCCCACATTCTTAAATATGGCTTTATTACATTCCGTTAAATTTTGTTCAGAAAGATACATTACTGATATTAAAATGAAAACCAGTGAAAAAATATAGCTCACCATAACTGTATTCATAGCGAACTCCGCTGAAACATACCTTAATTCGTTTAGTAAATGATATTATATATACTATAAATACAGTGCAAGCTAGCTTTTGGGTAGCAAATGTGTTCTTTGTTCTTAATCTGGTGCTACTTGTTAGAAAAGCAGTCCTGATCACTCCTTGACTCTTCCAAGTTAAATTGGCAGAGAGGATTATAAGATTATCAAATAAACGTATGACTTAACAACCATTCCAGATCATTCAATCAAACGATTTTTCCACAAAACATCTAAAACTGCAGTTAGAATAAACTCAAATTTGCTGTGTAATTCCACAACGTTTCACTTTATTCCTAAGGAGCATAAGACACCAAAATGACAAAGGGGCAGCAGACCTGATTCCTTTGGTATATTAAGGTGAGCACACCTTACATCTAAATTTTCATGTGAGCCCAGTGGAGCAGAGACTGAGCAACCATTGTCCCTGGAGACAACAGAACACTGCAGGCCAAACAACAACAACAACAACAACAAAACGTATGTGTGTGTGTTTTCGTTTTTATTTTCGTCCTGATCCTTTGACTTGAACTCTACATTTTTTTTTAAGCTATGGTAAAAACAATACTTTAATGGAAAATTATTTCTCTTTGGAAAACCACTCAACTTCTTTCTTTTGTTAAGCAACCTTGTATGTGTTTCCCATTCTGCCTTCTTCCCATCCTCACGTTACTAGGGCCAGGAACGAGGACGCTTTCCTTCCAGAGAACACCGGTCAGAATGCCACCCTTGCCTGGGCAGCCTTGAATATCCAACCTGGAATTCCCTGGGGATCCCAACACCAAGAGTTACACACATCACGACGCTGGAAAGGACGTCTGGTCGATCCCCCCTAAAGGCCTACCAAAGATCAGGTCTCTACCGTTACGCCCCCATCTAGAAGAGAGGACATCCCAGACACACACCCCCGCGTGCAGTGCGGGGAAATCGCGCCCGGGAATCCCACGGACACGATGGGAAAGGGCATGCCCGGGCGGGGGGCGGGATGCTGACCCGGGGACGGCCGGTACAGAGCGAGAAGCCAGCTGGGGTTGGCAGACCCCCCTCCCCCTCCCCCTCCCCTCCCCCTCCCCCTCACGGGGTTCCTCACCACCCCTGCCAAGGCTCCGCCCCCGGCCCGCCCAGAGCTTCGCCCCCTGCCCACTGGTCAGCGCACGCGTGTCGGTGCGCCCAGCCTCTGCGCCCTCCCAGGCAGCACGCTCCGGTCTGGACGGTTCCGCGGGCGTGTGTGTGCCAGAGGGGCGGGAGGGATGCTCCAAGTCGGCGTGAAGGAGGCACGAGTGGGGAAGCACGGGCGGGCCAGACCAGGAGACCTCCCGGTAACCACCTCGACTCCATTTTATCTCCTCGGAAACTGGGCAGGCTGGGGACCCCGCCGCAGGGCGGGGTTCCTCCCGGCGTGGGGCGAGAGAGACCGTTACGCTGGAGCACCGGGAGACTGTCCTGGCAGCTCCCGGCCGCCACCCGCGCCGAAATAAAAGCCTCTCGCGGCTTCCCGCCCAGCCAGCCTCTCTCTGATTGGTCGCCATGGGAGGGACCCGAGTTAGCTGGAGGTGGCGGCGGATCGCGGCTCTCGTGCCGCCTGGGGAGGGGTCGCGTTGGGTGCTCCCCGGCCCGCCCCGCGCGCTCCCCCACCCAGGTTCGGCCGTCTAGGGCAGCTCTAGCGGCAGCTGGCAGCGGCGGCCACAACACAGAGACCCCTCCGCCCGGCTTTCCTCGGGCGCTTCCCAGCACACGCCCCCCACCGAGAATGTCTGCCCACCCCACCCAGCTCTCTCCGGTTCCTGTTCCTTTTCTTCCCCCTCCCCGTCCGTCAGCTCCAAAACGCAAATCCTGGGGTGGGGCGGGGTGGGGTGGGGTGAGCAGCTGGAGGGAAGGGTGGGCACGCACTGAAGAATCTTCCAGGGAGGCCGGGATGGAAATACCCCAAATGAAATAAACCTCCCTCCCTGCCGCCAAGGTTTTATGGGCGGCGGCGCAGCCTCCGCCACCCGCGGCAGCATCACTACTGTCTTCCTCCCAGCTCCTATTGTTCGCACTTTGCCAGGGTCGGGAACCTCGCCCAAAGAAAGGAGACTGGGGCGAGGTGTTTCGGGCGGCTACCTGCCATTCTTCTCTCGCACCACGCAACATGGGGCTCGCGGTGCGTGTGAAGGCACACACGCGCACACACGCGCGCACACACACACCAGGCAGCCCCGATCACGCCCTCCTCGCCCTCCGCCCCTCCGCACTTCCTCCTGTCAAAACGCGGCGCTCGATCCTCCCATCCCTCTTGCTCCGGGCCGAGAGCAGGCTTTGCAACTAACCAGATATTTGGCAAATGAAAAACTAACGTCATACCGACGGGGGTGCAACAACGGCCACACAGCCCTGAAATTCTGCCCATTTCGCCCCATTTTTCAAACCGTTATTCGGCCGGGGCGGGGGCTAAAGGCGCAAAGGCGGCGAGCCCCACTTTATTAGACCCAGGGAAATAACGATCGGGGGCGGCTGCCCCGGCCTTATTGTTCAGTCTTCGCGGAACCGGGGCTGACAAGCCCCTTCCCCACAGAACCCGAGCCTGTGCGGCTGCACCACCGAACCGCGGCCTCCCCCGCTCCGCCGCCCGCCACCCGCCTTTGGGGATGGAGCGCTGCCCATCGCCGGCGCGGCCGCAGCGTCCCGGGAGCGGGCTGCTCCGCTCCCAGCGCAGCGGGCACACAAAGTGGGAAGGGCGGGCGAGCTGGAGGGGCGCCTGGCGCTCTCTACGCGGGGAGGCTGCCCCAGTCCAGGCAGCCCGGGAGGGTTCGGGTGGGCAGCAAGGGCGACGCGCTCCTTCCTCAGCTCAACGAAAATGACCACTCTTAGCATTCCATGTAAAACCACCCCAAATAACACCGTTCCTCGGGGGGAGGAGTTGGGGGAGGGTGCGATTAGCAAATCAAATTGCGAATATTAATTTTGAAAATGTACCTGCAGTTCCCAGGAAAAACAAAGTCCAGATGAAATCCTTAGTTTGCAGCATTGTAATGTGCTGGCCGGGAGGGATGTTCTTGCCGCGGTAAATTCTCTGCCCCCCCCTCCCTTGCAGCGAGTGTGGACGGCGGCAGAGCAACAGACCTAGGGGCAGACAATTGCCAGGCTGAGTATTATTATTTTTGCAGAATTGTTTCCTGCCAGCCGCTGCCGAGCTGCGTTCACGCGCTGATCGGAGAATGAGTGACAGTCCCAGCCTCAGCACATTCGCAACTCGGAGATCCTTGCGCTGGCCCGGGTTCGCTTTGATGGAACTGGGGATGGGAGTGGGGGGCGGGGGTGAGAACCTCACTGTGTCCTTCCACCACGCCGGCCACAAATAGTGCCGAACATCAAGGAGGTAAGAGAGACAGGGGAGGCAGCTGCGGCCGCCTGCAAAACCCGGCGTGGAACTGCCGGAGGAGTCGGGCTCTTTCACAGGCAGTCTTCCAGGCAGAACTGGGATTTCTTCTTTTCACACTTCTCGCCTGTGCCTCCGCGGTCCTTGCTGCCATCCAACCTTCCTTAATCAGGAAGGTAGGATACTTTAATAACTAGTAAATAATAAAAGTAAAATTTTGGGTTTGTGTAGGGTTTCAAAGTTGTCGAATCCTTCATTTAGATCCTAAGATCCTCGAATTATAAGGATAGCCTAGGACTTAGTTGTTTTAAGTGCAGGAAATTAGAAATTTGGAGAAGGAGGGGGATTGCTGTTGTTGGGTTTTGTTTGTTAATTTGTTTGTTTGTTTGTTTTATACTGGGTATGAAGTGTGCTCTCCCACAGAGAGGCAGCAGATCTCAGGGGAAGGAGGTGGGAAGCAACTTAAGTTAGAAGGAAAACGCAGATGTTTAGAAGGGATTTTCAGAAATAACTACAGGAAAATGTTTTCTTGTTTATAAATGCTGGAATCTGTGGCCTCTTTATAAAGATAACCAAGATTTTTTATGTAGGTTTTATGGTATAGGCACAATATTAAATAATATTTTCTTACAAGGGCATACAACCTCAATTCTTAAAGATTTTAATATAGAATATCACTGAGGTACCAACGCAAAGAGTTTCAATGAATCTTCCAGCTGTTATTTTAAACAGAAGAGGGTGGGGGAGCAAGGTGAAAATAAACATGTTTCAGCACCTGAGCAAGGTTTGAGTGTTTACGGAACAAAAGGTGAGGCAGAAAAAGGAGCTCACGGTGTCCTAGATGCTGGACTAGCCTACTAGCCTAGCACCGTGAAACCCTCCCAGACGAAGGCTGCCTGTCTATGTTCAAAGCACCAATGCACCAACATCACCATGCACTCCATTTTTCTTTAAAGGTCAGACTCTCCACTGCTGTATCACTCTTTAAAAACCCATTCTCTGCTGGCTAACCAGCCAGTTACTGGAGAGGCTGGCACCCCTCCCCCTCCCCTCCTGTATACTAAACCCAGGTGGGCCAAACCAACAGGCTGAAATACAGGGGCCCCTGAAAAGTACTTCCTCCCCCAAATCTATCTTTCACAACATTTATTTTTGTAATATTTCCCTCATACCGACGATAAATAATTTTAAAATACAGAGAAGTAGAAAGAATCCCACAGATTCCAGAGATACCCACAGATTTTCTAAGTCTTCTGTGTATGCATATGATTTTTATCACTGACATAGTGTAGCAGCGCCTAACGTCTCATTATAAGCATTTTTCCAGTTTGTTAAAGAGTCCTTTGAAATCTTGTATAGCTATGTAGTATTTCTTCATATTGAGGGCTCTTCAATGGTTTCTCCACTGTTGGATATGTGGATTGTTTCCAGAGTTTAATAATATCAGTAATGGTTTTTGAACATCTTTTAGTAAGTATTTATTGAACAACCACTGTATTTAGTCCTGTGCTGGGTACAGTGAATTATATAGTTGTTGTTGTTGTTTTTAATGGTTGCTGTATTTAGCATATTTGGCTTCAGACATGAGGTCCTGCTAACATGTAAAATTGCCACATTGGCCTGGTAAATGTAAGTGGGTAAATATATTAGACTCTTTGCTAAGGAAGAGGTTTTGATAGCAGGGAAAGATGGAGAGAACAGGCCTGAGGGGAAAGGGAAGAAAGTGAAGGTTGGGATACCCAACATAAATTTTTTCTATTTCTAATTTTACCAAGAGTGAGAGACACACCCTTCTCTGCAAACCTCCCTCCCTGTAGCCCCTATCCATAGAATCAAAAGATTCCTTGCTATTTTTCTCCCCAAATGTCCCTATTTTTAGTTTTTTAATGTAGGCAGGTGTGGAAATCCTATCTCACTTCAGCATGACTGAATCCCCCCCCAGCCCCTCCCTTCCCTGTGGGGCTGCTGCTCTCTGTTGTGATGATTCATTCTAGACCTCTGGTCCCCAGTCATTGCAGTCCACACTCCATGTATCTCTCCTGTGTTCTTTTAACAGGATCCGTCACTTGTGTCCAATTCGTCAGCTCTCTACTTGTCAGTGCCCACATCTGTGAGCTCTGGGTGTCAATCCTTTCCTGAACCTCACTTTGAAATGAGACAGAACTGTGTCCCTCCCCAGACCTCTTTCCCCAGAGGGAGTCCCAGGCTGTCAGGCCCACATTAATGAGCATCTAGCGAGTGAACAACCAGGGGACTGAAGCAGAGGAAGGAGACACTCAGGACTGCTTTAGAGATTGGAGCTTCCCTAATAAAGCAGAGAATGGGCTATAAAATCAGCCACAGCAAGAAGACGAGCCAGGAAGTTATGACAGTGCTCTCCGGATGGGCTGGCAGGTCCTGATCCTAGGCAGTGGCCCTGGGGAAGGAAGCCAACAGGAGCACAGATCTGAGAAATATTTCCAAGACAAAAAACAGCAGAACTTTGGAACTTTCTGAAGATGGGGGTCTGAGGCAGGGGAAGAAATCAGAATTGCTTCCATTCATTCAACAAATACTTATTCAGTATCAACTAGGTGCCTGGCACTGCTCTAGACACTCAAGACATAGCAGTAGACAAAAGAGTATCTTTGCCTTCATGGACTTCTGTTCTTATGGGGAAGACAGAAATTAATCTACAGATATCTAGTATGTAGATGGTAATATGTGCAAAGGAGAGCAATAAAGAGGGGTACAGGGGTAGGGAGTTCTGTGGGGGTTAGCATTTTGTACAGGGGAGCCAGGGAAACATCTCTGATTCAGGGATATCTGGCAAAGATCTCAAGAAAGTAATGACTCCAAAGCTTCCAGTGTGGGCAATTAAGTAGCTGCTGGTAACCTTGACAGGGAGTGGAAGAGGAAGGGCAGACTTAGACAAGGTAATAAGCAAAGGAGCAATGGTGTCAGCTCTGGACACACTAATTCTGAGACGTTTGAGGGATATCCAAGTGAAGATGTACAGAAGACGAACAGTCAGATGGAGAGGAGCCTAGAGAACATTAATATTTAAGCCGTGGGCAGACGGAACTGCCAAAGAAATAGTGAAAACACAGAGAGATAGAGAATTAGAATATTATAATGTCACCAACTCGAAAGGAGAAGAAAGTTTTGAAGTGGTCAAATAAGAAGGCTTAAAAGTTTCCTGGATTTGACCATTGGGAAGTCATGAGTGGTCTCTGAGAGAGCAACATTCGTGGGGAAGGGGAGACATCACATCACCGTCCCAGGAACGGAAGACTGGCCAGGAAGGAGCAGCAGGGGGTGTGGACCACTCCTCAGAGGAGCCATGTGATACTGGAGGAGGAGTGTGATAAAGATAATAACAGAAAGACAAGCTTGAGGGAGAAGGAACCTTGAAAGCAGGTTTTCTTCTCTTCTTTTTGATATGAGGAGTTAATTATTAGGTTATAAAGTAAATTGAATTTGCCGCTAACTCCTGCTCACCATCACCACCACGTTATGGTCTAACTTAGACTACGTGAAAAAATGAACTTGGTCTAGAGTCAAGTGCTCTCACAGATGTTTTTCCTCATTTAAGGCTTCTTTCCTGTTGGTGTTGAAAAGGAGAACCAAGGCAAGACCTCAGAGCCCACAGAAATCCGAGGAACTCAGTTTAAACATTTGACATGAGCAAAATGCATTCTGGGAAACTCAGCAGCCTAAGCCCAAAGCCAAAGACAGTGACCTGGGGCTAGGAGAGGCTGGAGAAACAGAGGCATGCCCAAAGAGGTGAGTGTGATGTAGGAAAGAGAGGACCGCAGAGCTAACGAGTGGGTCTCTAGGGAGCCCTCAGAGCTCCCTCTTAGCTTCTCATAGTCCTGATCTGGTTGACATGAGAAGTGACTTCTAGCTTCTACGGTGTGATGGGGCTGAGGCCACTGACATGCTTCCCTCCTTGCTCGAGGCTGGCTCAGGCCCTGGTTAAGGACTAGTGCACACTCGTCAGTTTGATCCAGCTGAATGATGCTGGGGACTCCAAAAGCTGAGGAATGAGAAAGGTCGACACAGAAACCACTACTTCTCTGTGCAGGTTGTGCACTGCACAACTTCAAGGGGTGCCTTTCAAGTCCCACTCGTTATATATTTAACCAGATGTTAGGAAAATTTTTGTGTCAAGTGCAAGTAAATAATCTCAGGGAAGGGGTGATGTTTCTTTTTTCTTTCTTTTCTTTCTTTCTTCCTTCCTCCGTCCCTCCCTTCTTTCCTTCTTTTTTTTTAAATTTTGCAGACACTTTATTAGAGAGTGCTTTCAACCCTGTATAGGAAGGGAAGGAAACAGTTTGGAAAGAGGGAGAAGCTGAGCCATACCACAGGCACAACAAGGTGTCAGTCAGCCCCTGGGTGCTGTGAAACCAGCTGTAGTGTCCTGGCATGGAACAGTCATCAGATTTAGGCTGAACCTGACCTTGGGAGAGGCAGCTGTCTGCAGCCAAGGGCAATTTCTCAAGGCTAACCGCTGAGAGCATCCTCCCAAGTAGAGAAGCATGTCATCCCCCAGTCCTGAAAGTGGCATCTGGGCAGCTTAGCACAGCATCCACACACAATTTTAGCTGTAAACCAAAATGTAATTGGGGGGAAAGCTAAATATTTTTTCTTTTCTTGGGAAAGAAGTATTTTCTGTGGGAAAATATATGTAACATAAAATTTACCATTTTAAGTCTACACTTCTGTAGCATTAAATACATTCACATCGTAGTACAGCCATCACCATTATCCATCTCCAGAACTTTTTCACCTTCTCCAACTGAAACTCTGTACCCATTAAACAATAAATCCCCATTTCCATTCTTCCCCTAGCCCCTAATAACAACCATTCTACTTTCTGTCTCTATGAACCTGAATAGTTATACATACAAGAACAATCATATGTTTGTCCTTTTGTTCCTGTCTTATTTCACTTAGCATAATGTTTTCAAGGTTCACCTAAGTGGTAGCATGTGTCAAATTTTCCATTGTATGTATATACCACA